GACTCTTCTGTTGTGTGGGAACCAAAGGAAACCCCAGAGACCTAGCAGCTGGCAGTCACCATAACCAGGGCCCATCCCCGGTGGCCTTTGAGTGCCAGTGGTCAGAGGGTCACTTGAGCAGCTGATGTCTGATTGAAGATTCGGGGGCAGAGCAGTCCCTGCACGAGACCACTGGAGGAATTGGCTCGGCCACACCTGGGCGCTCAGAGCCAGCCATAGACTGTTCTCAGAGCTCCAGGGCAGGCAGCCCCTCGCTCCTCCCCGGCTCAGCATGGGCAAGGCCAGTGAACCTGCAGCCAGGCGAGACCCAGAAGGCCCTGTGGGCCCCGCCCTTGGGGAGCTGGCAGTTGACCCAGACTGATGAAAGAGCATCCCAGGTTGCCCCAGCAACATACTGGGGTGTATTGCAGGGCCTGAGGCTCCCCACACCTCCCTGAACTGGGATGGCTGTGGCCGTGTCCCCCAACAGTAGCATAGCTGTCCTTACTCACTCCTGACGTGCAGCACGAGACACAGCCTTCTCATGCATCAGCTCTGCTCCAAGTGGTGACACGTGACTATTGTGGGGATAAGAAAACTGAGCCTTAAAGATGTCAAGAAGCTCAACACAACTAGAGAATGGTTAAACCAGATCTGAAGTCCATGTTCTCTTTGCTGACATCCAGCCATTGCTCATTGCCTGCCTTTACCAGGCACTCGTGTCTCCTGAGTGGAGGGCAGCGGGAGACCCCCGGTTCCCCGGAGCAGGGGAAGACTCTGGCCCACCCCACCTGCTTTCTTAGCTCCCAGCACGGAAGAGGAACAAGCGGCTTGGCTGTGCCACACTGTGGCAGCACCACAGAGGCGTTCGGCTAAGTGAAAGGCGCCAAACCGAAAGACTACGTGCTCCGCGATTCCATTCACGTGGCACTCTGCGAAGGAAAAGCCGTGGGCTCAAAGATCTCATCTGGAGACGAGGGAGGGGATTGACCTAAGGCAAAGGAGCGTGATTTTAGGACGTGATGGAAACGTTTCCTGTTCCTCGTTTGTGGTTGCAAACAACCGTATATCAAAATCAATTGATGTGTGCAGTTAGGCTGGTGAGCTTGGTGTAGCTACATCTTACCTTTTAGAAATATGGGGGGGGTTCCTGGTGGCCAGCCGTGGAGACGCCGGGGTGGGGGTAGAGCGGGGGTGGAGCTCAACAAACAGTGCGACCTGGGAGCGAGACAGGGCGTGGTTTTAAGTCACGCGGATGGACGGCGCATGCCACCTGGGGAGGCTGAGGCACAGTGGCAGCCTGGAGAGAGCCTCCATGGAGACTAAGAGCAGGCGTGGCTCCAGCAGTCCACCCCAGGTCTGTCTGGGAATGTGTACGGTCTGCCTGAAGCGGTGCTCCGGGGACATTGCGCTATTAAGCGACTGTGTCAGAAAATGAAAATGACTTCTAAGCTTCTGCCTGAAGGTAGAAGAGGAGCAAAGTAAACCCAAAGCAAGTGGAAGGAAGGAAATAGGACGAGAGGAAAGTGAAATCGAAAACGGTGACTAAGCTGAATGAATTCAGAAGCCGAGTCTTTAAAAAGATCAAAACTGGAAACTGGTAGCACGACCGACAGGAGGAGGAAGAGGAGACGTAAACGAGCAACATCGGGAATGGACGGCGGATGGAGCGCTCCGGACCCCACGGGCGGCGAGAGATACCGAGGAAGCACCGTGAGCAGCTCTGCATGTCGATTTGTCACTTAGGCGAAACGGACCCGGTCTCTGAAACCACAGACCGCCCAGACTCACCCAAGAGGAAGAAAGTCACCCGAGGTCCTGAATCTAAAGAAATTGAATTCCTCGTTAGAAACCCTCCTGGAGAGAAATCTCCAGGTCGAGTAAGTGATCGTGCAGGCAAATCCAAACAGCAGTCACACACGTTCTTCAGAAAAGCAGAGGAGGAAACACTCTGCAGCTCGTTTTATGAGGCGGGCATTGCCCTGCTACCAAAATTAGATGAAGAAAGTCCAGACTACAGACCAGTCTTGTCCTTCTTAATATCTTCTATAAAACGTCAGCAGGTCAGATCCAGCAGAGTGTAAGAAGAATGTCACCACAAATGGGATTGATCCCAGGAATGCAAAGGTAGTTCAAAATTTTTTTCCTGTTATTCACCACGTTGACAGTGTAAAGAAGGAAGACCACGTGATCATGTTATCCGAACAGGCATTTGACAAAATTTGACATTCGTGATATTTTTTAAAAACCTCAGGAAGCGAGGAATGGCAGGGAACTTCCTCAGCCTGATACAAAGTGGGTCTCCAGAGAGGCCTGCAGCCGGCAGCAGACTGGGTTCGGGCAAGAGACTGAAGGCGCTAAGGCAGGACGGGGCACACTGTCTGTTTCATGCTGGACTGGAAGGCTTGCCCAGCACACGGGGGACGTCACAAAACGTACTGGAGAGGAAGAAATAAAACTGCTTTTTCACGGATTGTCTACGTGAAAAAGTAAAATGTAAAAAGTTCTCCTAGAACTAAAGAATGAGTTTTGCTTGTATTTCTACATACTAGTGACAAACAATAGGAAACTGGTTTTTTATAAATATTGCTTGCAATTTCTCCAAAAAAAAAAAACATAAAGTACTTAAGTGTAAACCAAATAACATGAGCAAAGATCTGTATGCCAAAAGCTTAAAATTATAAAAACATTTATGAGAAAGCAAAGTCATCCCAAGTAAGTGGGGAGACATACCATGTAATGGGTTTCTTGAGCAGACTGGGCAGACTTTCCTTCTTTGACTGCTTGTTCCTCCCCGCAGGTCACCAAGTCTGTCACCTGGTGCAGGTAAAAGTGTCCCACGCGTTTTCGACACGCCTTTTATTTTCCTTTATTCTGTTTTCTCTGTGTTCAGCTGTCATGATCTCTGTCACGTGCCAGTTCTTCATTCTGCCAGCACGGCCTTCTAGGAAATTTTTCACTTCGGTTATTAGACTTCCGACCCCAGAATTTCCAGGCGGTTCTCCCTTACAGTGCCTTTCTCTGGTCATGCTGGACGGTTTCCTCCCTGTGGTGTGTGAGTTCACTGCCTGGGACACTCCCTGTCCATTACCCCTGGTTGTCTTGTTGCTTTCGACAGTGCCCTTGGGCACAAGTCTTGCTGTCTGATCCAGTCAGATTTCAGCAGTGGTAGTTTTGTGGCCCCAGGAGGGTCCTCACTGCCCTTGGCCTGTGAGCCAGCTTTCCTGGGTCTGGCTTTTACCCCTAGCTCAGAGGCGTTGTTTTCGAGAATGCACTTAAGCTTTGGCTCCCCACTCCCGGGGTGAAGGAAGGGGACCCCTCGGAGAGAGCCCTGGAGCTCTCTTTCCTCCACAGCCTCCCTGGGTGCTGGGCAGGGCAGTGGCCTCTGATCCTCTGGGCTCTCCCGCCCGGCTGGGGTGAGGGTGGTAGGAGCCCAGGGTCCTCAGCCTGCCCACCTGCACCGGAGCCTCTGTTCTGCGGGTGGGGACCCCAGCCTCCCGGTTACAGGCTCCAGGCCTCTGATGACCGGGCCTCTAGCCTGGAGCTCGGGGGGATGAGGAAGGCTGCGGCCCGTGGCCACCAGGACTGTCTTGGTGCTGCAGATGCACCGTCTCTAGGGTTGGAGTAGTTTCCTGACTGGATGCCGCCGCTGCTGTCGCATGCCTTCTAGAAGGCTCTCGGCAGCCTTCTGCCCCTCCGGTCCCCGCACCTGCTCCTCTGCCGTGGGAGGGCAGCCTGGCTGGGCATGCTGTTCCTGGCTCCCTCCAGGTGTGACCCGCTGCCCCGGCCTCCCGGCCTCTGACGGAAATCAGCCTTAGATCTTAAGTGTCCCTTGTGTGCAGTGAGGCCGTCCCCATGCCGCCCCCAAGGGTCCCCCGGAGCTTCTACCTCTCAGTGCGATGCGAAATGTCTGCTGTGAATCTCTTTCAGTCTGTCCTACTTGGAGTTCGTCTAGCGTCCTGGATAATTTTTACCAGATTTGGGGAGTTCGGGGCCATTGTTCCTTCAGCTATGCTTCCTGTCCTTTTTCTCGTCCTGGGATGCCCATGTGCACATGCTGGTGCTTGGCGGTGTCCCCCGGGCTGCTGCATCGTGCCAGCTGTCTTCACGTTTGCTGGCTCCTGCTCACCCCGGCTCAGACCTGCCCTTCAGCCCCCTCCTTGAATTTCAGATCTGCGTTGTTACGTTTTCCAACTCCAGGGTTTCGATTTGGTCCGCGTAACATCTGTTTCTACTCCTGTCCTCTGTGCCGTGACGCGCTGTCTGCTTTCCTTCGAACTTCCTTGGAGGCAGTTCTGTTTTGCTTTAGGACACGTGTCAAGTACCCGACCCGAAGTCCTTGTCTAGTAGGTCGGACCCCTGAGCTTCGTCGGGGACCGTTTCTCCTGGTTGCTTTTTTCACGTGTAGGGGCCATACCTTGTTTTTCTGCATGTCTCGTAATTTTTTTGTTGAAAACTAGATTTTCAGTTAGTATAACTTAACACATGTCAAACTCTCTCCGCCCCAGGCTTCGTTGCCGTTGCAGCCCCTTGTAGGTCCTGCTGCTCGTTCAGTGACTTGTCTGGGTGATTCTGGACCGTCCATCCGTGCTCCTCGTTCCCTGTGACCGCTGAAGCCTTTGCTCAGCTGGCTGAGTGGTCGGGCCGGGAAGGGGCGGGAATTTCCTCGAACGCCCGGAACCGGGAAATCGCCTGTCTCTGCCAGAGGCATGGTTTCCGCTGCGAGCCGGGCAGTCGACAGCCTCCACGCTGCGGGAGCGGAGAGCTCGGGGCGTCCTCAGGTCTTTCCTGAGTGTGCACAGAGCCCCGCACGTGCCTGTGGCTTTTGGCGCTCCTCAGAGTCCTCGGCGTCTCATTCCCCAGCTCTTACTTTTGAGTCCTCTGGTCGGCCTGTCGTTCGCCACAGGTGTCATGCACTGTGTTCGGCAGCGATGAAGTTTGGAAGTGGAACACACCTAGAGAGAAGGCTGTTTACGCTGGGAGAGCTTTGGGTCAAATGCAGACAGCCTGGCGAGTACCCTTCCAGGGAGCGGCCGGGCCCAGCAGCAGTTCTTGGCGTGGGGCTTTAAGGAGCCCCAGCCCTCGTGCGCCACAGTGGCTGCCAGGAAGCTGGTGTCCCCTTGGTTCCAGCTGCTGTTTCCAGGGCCACAGGAGAGGAAATAGGGCGAGTTACGATGCCACGAAGCTCACCGATCTCACCGAGGGTCGCCCTTTTCCCTTGAATAAATGCTCCCTGCTACCTCGAACAGCTCGATCTTGTCCGATCTCAGAAGCTCAGCAGGGCCAGGCCTGGTTAGAACTTGGATGGGAGACCACCTAGGAAGACCAGGTGCTGTAGGCTTAAAAAAAAAAGAAACCGCTCCCTGTATTGCTGCAATCCTTTGGTTAATTTTCAGACGTCTAAGAACGTTGACGCTCACATTTTTTGCCCATTTTCTTATTGTTCCTTTGGAGGAGAAGATTTTCAGAGGCTCTTCCTCCAGCAGCTGCTCACCTCACATGTTTACATCTGTCTTGGCATGCAGTGCCCCTCCCTGTCCCACGGGGGAGGCCTGCTGCAGCGGCCCTGACCACGAGGGGGGCCTGCGTGTCGCCCCTCTTAACGGCTTTGGACTAGGTCAGGAGGCAGGTGGCCAGAAGAGTAGGTCAGTCCATGTCCCTCGGGCGCCAGAAGGAAGGCGAAGAGGCGCGTCTGGGGCCGCGAGTTGCTCCCGAGTAGGGGGAGTTAGCGCCCCCTCGTCGGAGCTGCCTCACTAGAGCTCTTGGCTGTTCTCAGGGTAGATTTGCTGATGGGAGCTAGAGCGGGTCCCCCTAGAGAGGGGGCCTGGGCACTGTGCTGTTCTGTGAACGTAAACTTGGCACTGGGAGGCTCCAGACCTGGGGCAGGGCTCCCTGACAGTGCCGAGGTCCCTTATGTCTCTCTGGCCACGTACCTGGCTGGTGGTCCGGGGAGGGGGTGAGCTCCACATCTCCCGGGCCTCGGTGGCCCAGCCCCACGGGGTGGGAGTGCGTGACCTCCCACATGTCTCTTGCAGAGCGGGAACAGCTTCCACGTGTTCGACCAGGGCCAGTTTGCCAAGGAGGTGCTGCCCAAGTACTTCAAGCACAACAACATGGCCAGCTTCGTGCGGCAGCTCAACATGTGTGAGTGCCGCCTGCAGGGCGTACGGCGGAGCCAAGGGGCTCCACAGGGAGGCGGACCCTATCTGTGCTGAGGGAGGGAGCCTGGGCCGGGAGTCCTCTTCCCTGGGTAGAGGGGTCCTCGTGGGCCTGGCCCGAGGTCCCGGGGAAAGCTCATGAAGCCCCAGGCGGCCACAGCCACAGGCGTTGGTAGGGGTGCTATGTGGGGACATGGGGTCTCCCTTAAGACCCCCAGCCGCTGCGGGCAGGGTCTCAGCGAGGGCAGCGCAGGCCTCCTTCCGGCCCTGAGGCAACCCCGCCCTCCCCCCACCTCCGGTGTGCAGACGGCTTCCGGAAGGTGGTCCACATCGAGCAGGGCGGCCTAGTCAAGCCAGAGCGGGATGACACCGAGTTCCAGCACCCGTGCTTCCTGCGCGGCCAGGAGCGGCTCCTCGAGAACATCAAGAGGAAAGTGCCCAGCGTGAGTGGCCGGCCTGGCTGCACCCCACCCTCTCCCAGTGGGCCCACCCTCCCCACTGTCCATCGCGGATCCCGCCCTGGTCCCCCCCAGCTGTGCAGGGAAGGCCTGTCTCAGACTGGCAGCCCCTTGGCCCTTTCCTGGGTGTCCCCGGCCCTCCCCTCTTTTCTGGGGGGCCATCTCAGTGACTGCTCCCCCTGGGGACCCAGGTGTCCACCCTGAAGAACGAGGACATAAAGATTCGCCAGGACAGTGTCACCAAACTCCTGACGGATGTGCAGCTGATGAAGGGGAAGCAGGAGAGCATGGACTCCAAGCTCCTGGCCATGAAGCAGTAGGTCCCGTGGGGGTGGCCACTCTGTCCCGGGGCCTCTTCCCCACCCGCCCCACCTCCTGCAGTGTCTGTGGCAGGTGCTTCCCACACATAGAACTGGCTTTGGGCTGGCATACCCTGCCGGGCCCCTGCCGGGCCATCCTTGATTGCCAGGAGCTGGGGTCGGCTGCTCCTGCAGAGCTAGGACCTGAGCCCTGGCCGCACCCTCGGCGCAAGCGCCCCGCCCTCCTGGCCTTCCCTGCAGGCCAGGGTGGCCCGGCTCCTTACTGAGCCCACAATGTCGTCTCCTGCTGCTGGCTCCCGTGCCCCTCACATCGCTCAGCATAGGTGTCACCTCAGGCCCGTGGAGCAGGAAGCACGCCTCCCACGGTGCACGTCTGGTGCATAACCAGCTTTACGCTCCCTGCCTTAGCCAGGATCCCCAGGAAGGCCAGCTCGGGTTCCTCCCATGCACTGGGGGCCTAGGGACCTCAGGAAGCCTAGCCTGGGGCGGCTGTCCTTGGCTCAGTGTGACCTCAGGGCCACTCAAAGTGGACCCTTGTGACCCTATGTCATGGAGGTGACTCCTGGGCTCTGACTGTTTTTACTTTGAGAGCCAGATGAGTCTGGCCTCCCAGGACACAGTTGCCTCTCCAGGTGAGGCCAAGAGGGTTAAGTCCCTGTCAAGAAGATGTGGGGGCTTAGCAGGGCTGACCACCGGAAGGGCAGACCTGCTCATGGCCTTGCTTGCTTGGTTAGGACTTACTCAGGTGGCCTTTCCTGTCCCTCAGGGCCACCTCTGAGCCACTACCAGGCCCAGTGAAGGGACCCTGCATCCCCAAAGCACAGGACGACCCCCATATGCCACCCTGCGGCCTGAAGAGTTGTCCCCTGGCCTTCCCTCCTCTCTCAGGCTCAGGGCAGAAGTGGGAGAGGCAGCACTTCGGGGGGCTGCCACAGCTGCCCAGGAAGGGTCCTGGGGTATAGCAAGCACGCTCCACCCCGCATCTGACCCGAGCCCCAGCTCTGCCCAAGGAGCCCTGTGCCAGGGGCCCGCTGCCGTCCCCCAACCTGGCCTTCTGTGCACCAGAGCAAGGTGGGGTGGGGCCAGCGAGCCCTGGCCTGCCCCCAGCCCCGTCATACAGCCACTTCACACCCAGTGTGCGGCCAGGCCCGTGAGGTGCAGCCCGCAGCTGGGTGGTGGAGTCTGCAGCCCCGGCCCGGGATTCCTGGAGCTCGGCCCAGCCCGCTGACAGCACTGGTGTTTTACAGCGAGAACGAGGCCCTGTGGCGGGAGGTGGCCAGCCTGCGGCAGAAGCACGCCCAGCAGCAGAAAGTGGTCAACAAGGTGCGCGGCTGGCCTGCAGGGTGCCCGGGGGGCCTCTGGGGCCAGGCTGACCGTGCCTCTCCGCCCCACAGCTCATCCAGTTCCTCATCTCGCTGGTGCAGTCGAACCGGATCCTGGGGGTGAAGAGAAAGATGTGAGGCGCTGGGGGAGCCTCCCCTCTGCACAGGGCCCAGCGCCACCTCTGCCTCCTGGGTGCCACCAGGCCCGGGGAGGCCGCTAACGCCACCCTTCCCTGCAGCCCCTTGATGCTGAACGATGGCAGCTCGGCGCACCCCTTGCCCAAGTACGGCCGGCAGTACTCCCTGGAGCACAGCCACGGCTCCAGCCCCTACTCGGTGAGCGCTTGGCTGGCCGGCGGGGCGGGCGCGGCTACAGCGAACGGGGCTCACCTCCCTTGGGCTCACCTCCCTTTGACGGCAGGCTCCATCCCCGGCCTTCGGCGGCTCCGGCCTCTACTCCCCAGATGCTGTTTCCAGCTCCGGACCCATCATCTCTGACATCACCGAGCTGGTGCCCAGCAGCCCCTTGGCCTCCCCAGGCGGGAGCATAGACGAGAGGTGGGGGTCAGTGAGTCACCTTCCCAGCAGCATCGGGGGAGGCTGGGCCAGCAGGGCGCCTGTTGACACGTGTGCCCCCTTTCCCCTCCGTGCAGGCCCCTGTCGAGCAGCCCCCTGGTGCGAGTCAAGGAGGAGCCCCCCAGCCCTCCTCGGAGCCCCCAGGTGGAGTTGGCGAGTCCAGGGCGCCTGTCCCCTGCTGCGGAGACTCCCCTGTCTCCAGCCACCCTCATCGACTCCATCCTGCGAGAGAGCGAACCCGCCCCTACTGCCTCGGCCGTGGCCACGCCCCTCCCGGAGGCTGGGGCCCGCCCCACCTCACCCCCACCGCCCTCAGCCCCTGAGAAGTGCCTCAGCGTCGCCTGCCTGGACAAGTGAGTGCTACCCTCCGCCACAGCCCCTGAAGTGCTGCCAGGCCTCTGGCCAGGACTCTTCTGGGGGAGCTGGACAGGGGCCCTCAAGCCTGAAGGCACAGGGCTCACTGGGGTTGAGCCAGCAGACCTGGCCTTGAGCTCAGTGTTGGGGGCTGGGAAGGGAGACAGACGGACCAGGCCGTCCCGCAACCCCGCTGCTATGGGAGCAGAGGCCACGTGGCCTGTCCTGCCTGCTCTCTGGGCCACCCTGGCTGCTGCTGTCACCTGCTCCTGCCACAGGCCACTGGGTCCTTGTGTCTGTCCTGCTGCCCAGCAGAGGCCCTGCCCCAGAGGCCAGGCGAACGAGGGCGGGGGGCACAGTGCCCACCCGGCCCCCACCTGCAATCGGGGGGCTCTTGTCTTTGTATCTTGCAGTTTGGCTCGCACTCCACAGATGTCTGGGGTCGCCCGCCTCTTCCCCTGCCCCTCCTCCTTCTCTCTGCATGGCCGAGTCCAGCCAGGGTTAGCGCCGTCCCCACTGGGGAGGGAGGAGGGCTCCGCCAGAGCTCGGGCCCCTCCCCAGCTGTAGACCAGACCCCAGCCTGGCCACGAGCACTTGGCCCTCCCTGGTGAATGGACGCCCCGGGCCCTCTACAGCGGGACCGGCCTCCCAGCCTGGCGTGGCTGCTGGTGCCACCAGGGTCCTTGCCACTGTACTGATGGGTTTCCTCAGGGTGGGGCTGGGTCCCATGGGTCCCCATGGCCCAGATGCGCCAGGTGGCCCAGGGCATCTCGGTTATGGCTACTAGGGGAGAGACCGGCCCACCACACACTGGGCACAGCTCCTTTCCCCTTCTGCTGTTTTCAAGTGCAAAGGCAGGATTTCTTCAAGCCTAAAACACTGCCCCAGCCTGTTCCGAGCACTAAATCCCTCGTCAGCCCCCCTGTCACCTTGGCCCAGCCTCAAGTGCTGCCAGGAGCCTTACAGGGCCTGGCAGTGACGACTAGCCAGCATGGCCTGAGCTACTCTTCCCCAGGCGGCCAGGCCCCGCTTCAGAGGGCAAGCCCAAGCAGGAAGGGGTGTGGCCGAGGGGAGCCCTCTGACAGCCGGGTGTGAGCCACAGCAGGAAGGCGTCAGGGGCGCCCAGGGCCCTGCTTCACCTGCCCCACTCACTCCGGCCAGGACCGAGCTCAGTGACCACTTGGACGCCATGGACTCTAATCTGGACACCCTGCAGAGCATGCTGACGAGCCACGGCTTCAGCGTGGACACCAGCGCCCTGCTGGATGTGAGTCCCGCCCCACCCCGCCCCCGCCCGGCTCATAGGCCCAGCCTCACTGGCTTCCGTCCCCTGCAGCTATTCAGCCCCTCAATGACCGTGCCGGAAGTGAACCTGCCTGACCTCGACAGCAGCCTGGCCAGCGTGCGTACAGTGGGGTGGGGAGTGGGAGAGAAGGGGTGAGTGGGAACCCACACTATGCCTTTCCTGCCCCAGCAGATCCAGGAGCTCTTGTCTCCCCAGGAGCCCCCCAGGCCTCTGGAGGCCGAGAGCAGCAACCCGGACTCAGGTGAGCCTGCCTGTGCCTCACCACCCGCACCCCGCCCCGCCACCCGCGCCCCACCACTTACCAGCACCCTGACCTGGCCCCACCCCTAGGGAAGCAGCTGGTGCACTACACAGCACAACCCCTGTTCCTGGTGGACCCAGGCTCCGTGGACATGGGGAGCAGCGACCTGCCCGTGCTCTTCGAGCTGGGGGACGGCTCCTACTTCTCCGAGGGGGATGACTACACAGACGACCCCACCGTCTCCCTGCTGACGGGCTCTGAGTCCCCCAAAGCCAAGGACCCCACCATCTCCTAGAGGTCCCAGGAAGAGGGCTTGGCCACGTTCCCTGCCACCCCTGTCGGCGCGGGGTGGGGCTGCTTCTGGCCAGCGGCAAGGGCCCCATTCCCGCGTGCCATGGCTGGCAACACCTGGACTGACAGTACTGTGGGTGTTTGGGCAGAATTGTATTTTGGATTTTTATGAGTACCCCTTTCCCCTTCCGTAGAGATACACAGGTGTATAGGCAAACGATGCACAAAACAGGCAGAGATCCATAAATGCCAGGCTGGACGCCGTGGCGTTCTGAGTCCATTTCCTCCCGCCCCAGCAGTGTGGTGGGCCGGGTGCGGTGAGGAGGGGCCATGCTCAGAAGGGGCTGGGGCCTGACGGCCTTGGATGGTAGATGCCCTCTGCACACCTGTGCCCACCGGATTCCACAGGACTCCACAGCACCTGTGCAGGGGTTGGGGTTGCAGGATTCCCCCCTCTTCCCAAGGTCTCCCCACTAGGGTACCTCCAGGTGGGACACTGCGTGTCTTCCTAGCAGAGTGTTCTCAGGGTGCTGGGCTGCCTTTGGAAGAGGGGACGGTTCAGTGCCACGAGATCTGGCTCAGGAACAGGAGTCGGGCCCTGCCTTCCGGGAGGCTTCTGAGCTCTGCCAGCCCAGGGGTGGGGGAGGCACACGTCAAAGCAACCTATTTAACATCCTGTGCCCCCAGCAGCTTCCCCCACTGTTCACCATTCGCTTGGCAGGGGCCAGGGAGATACTGCCTCTGTCCTAGGATCCAAAGGACACCCCCCAGAGAGCCCCAAGGAAGTGAGGACTTGGGATTAAGCAGACTCTGGTCGTTAGGGCAGGGCAGGACAGTGCAGCTGAGACATTGGCCCTCTGGGGCCACAGCTGCAAGTCAGGGCCAATCTGGCCTGGCATATTCCCTCGGCTTTTCCATCTTGAGAGGTGACTCAGTAAGATAAAGGCTGCCCACGACCTGTCAGGCTTGGCAGGTGGCAGGGTTTGGGAACAAGGTGCCCTGAATGCTGTGCTATGTGGACTGCCCAACTTGGTATCAACTGAGGGTGGGGAGGGGCTGGGCTAGGTAGGGTAGGCAAGCTGGGGTGTGGAGGGTCCCCCTAGACCCAGGAGGTACAAACAGCTACTCAGGCACCCACGCCCCCACCTGTCTGTGGATACATGTGCTCTTGAGAGGGAGGCCCCAGGCAAGGAATGGGGCAGGGCCTACCCCTGGGGTGCTGCTGCCCAGGGCTCATGGCCTTGTTCTTATGCCTTTGTGTGAGCCTGTCCACCTGTCGGTCCTGACACTTGACCCTTTTCCATGTGAGCATCCCAAGCTGAGGTCAACTTGGAGGAAGCCCTTAGGTGCCCTCTCCCAAGCCCCCACCCCCACCGGGTAAACAGCAGTGACCAGACAGAGCGTCGGACCTCAGCTGAACCTTTCTGGGCACTGAGGGTTGCCATACCTGGCATGGGTGTGGGGTGGGCACTGCCTTACTGCCAGTGCCTGCCCCGTACCCTGGGCATGGCACCCCAGTGGCCAGTGGAACCCAGACCCCACCCCAAGAGCACCACAGCACAGACCGGGGGAGAGGAGAGGCCCTCCTGCCCCAGGCAGGCAGAGGGAGTTCACTCTGGACAGGACTTTATTGACACCTTGGATTCATGGGCAAGGCCGGCCAGTGCCCAGTCTGCCACCCTTGGGGGGAAGGAGGGAGCCCCATAGGGGCAGAGAGACCTCTTGCGGGTGGCAGCCCATCCAGCACGTGTGCAGGTTGGGCTCTGTCCTGGGCAGTGAGGAGTGAGCAGAGCGGCTCAGGCCCCCACAGTTGGTGCCTCGTGGTGGAGCACGTAGTAGTCATGGACATACATGAGCACGGCCACCGGCTGCCCGATGATGAGCGTCAGCCACACGGCCGCGTTGCCGTAGTTCCCCCGGAAGAATCGGCTCACTATCCAGGCCAGCGGGATCTGGGGACGTGGTGGGGGCACAGTCAGTTGACCACAGGGCTAGGGGTCCCCGTGCGGGGAAAGGGCGGGTGAGAAGGGGTGAGGTGACCGCACCAGGGGCTCACCTGCGCCATCATGCCGGTGAAAGCCCAGAGGCGGAACATGCGCAGAGGGATGCTCACTAGGTACTGAGGTGGGAGGAACCAGGTCAGGGGCTCCTGGAGGGCCACACCCACCCCAGCAGCAGGACACGGCCCACTTGTGGAGCACTGACCTCGTGGAAGAAGGCCGAGGCCAGGAACACCCCAATCTTGGCGACCCACTTGCTGCTGCCGCGCCGCAGCATAGGCTTATAGAAGTGTCTGCAGGGGCAAGGGAGAGGGGGTCATAGGCGGGCGCCCAGCCACCCTCAAGGGCCTCCACCTGCCCACCGCACTCACACCCCTGCCCACCTGAGGCACCACCTATGCACAGGAATATTCCAGTTCTGCCAGAAGTAGGTAACAGACTCAGAGTTCCTGGGGGTCAAGAGAGTGGGTGTCAGATGGCGCCATGAGTCCCCCACCCCCAGGCCCCCTTCCCACAGGGCCACCCACCACCAATCCCGATAGAACTCGCGGTCTCCAAACTGCATGAGCTCGGCCACGGCGTTCAGGCAGGAGTGGAAGAGCCAGTAGAAGAAGATGAGCCAGATGAGGTGGTTGGGGACCTGAGGGGAAAGGGGGTGCCAGGTTCCAGAACCCCCACCCACCCTCGTGCCCCGCCCCACTGCCCAGCCCTCTCACCGCCAGCTTCAGGAGGCGCTCAATGATGCGTGAGTAGTCCATGTCCTGCAGAGACAAGGCTCAGCTGGCTGCCAGGCCACCCCCTCCCCGCCGCCCCTCAACTAATGGAGAGCCTGACAGCTCACCTTGAAAGGTTTCATGGAGTTCTGGATGGTGGGGACCATCCACTGCAAAGGACGGCGCAGAGTCAGGTCGGTAGCCCGGCCCCGCCCACCCCAAGGCCCCGGCAGGCGGCCCCGCTGGGCCCTCCCACATACCTGCTGGATCAGCCCCACCAGGAGCTGGGTGAAGAACAGCTGAGGGAGGAAACGAAGCAGCAGGCTGAGCCTCCCAGCTCTTGGCAGCGCCTCCAACCCCTCACAAGCCCCCCAGCCTCACCATCTCGAGGAGCCGCCGCAGCAGGAAGCGCTTTCGGATGCGGGGGGAGCGGGGAAAGTTGAGCTCATAACACAGTGTAGGAGCAAAGAGGAAGTAGTAGAGATCTGGAACGGCAGGGCGGGGCTGGCACCGGGAGGCTGGGCCCACTGTCCCCCACTGCCTCCCTCACCATCCTCGGTGGCCCTACAGGCTCCTCACCACGGTAGGTCAGGTTGTCCGGGTAGCTGATGGTGCCAGTCCGTGTGGCCACCCCACCATTGGCCTTCTCACCTGCAGAAGCTGGGAGCAAGCCAGGGGCAGGTGAGGCTGTGCTGCTGCCCAGGTCCACTCCCTCCCCATGGCAGGCATGGGCTCTAGCCTCAGCCCCAGGCAGCCTCTCACCAGCCTTGGCCTTGGCCTTGGCCTTGGCCTTGGCCCTAGCCCTGAGTTGTCGGCACCATAGGTTGACGTCCCGGTAGGAGAAGAGCTTGAGGAAGAGGATGGTGTACACGGCCAGAGCCAGCACGGAGCCCACTGCAGGAGAGGCAGGCTCAGGCCACGGCCTCCACACCCCCACAGGAGGGCCATGGGCAGCCCCTGTGGCTGGCCTACATCTCTCCTGTGGTACCCCGAGACAGGCTGGGCCAGGGGTGGGATGGGGGGGGCACCTGGAGTGATGGACTCCAGCAGGAAGGCCACGGCTGCCGGGAAGCAGAGAATGATGACCAGGTTGAGCACATGCAGCAGCAGCCCTGCCTGCTCTGTCAGGGCGCCCTAGGGTGGGGGAGCAGCACTCAGCCAGAGCCCACCCCCAAAGGGCCCCCCAGGGGAAAGGCTGCTGGGCGCAAGGGCGCTGCTCACCACCGCCAGACGCTTCTCCACCTGGAACGCGGCCACAGCAAAGACGTTGGCCACTGAGGACGGAAGAAGCAAAGGGCTGGTTCAGGCTCAGGTCTGACCTGTCCCCAGCCCAAGACCCCCTTCGGCGCCCGGCTCACCAATAAGCAGGCACAGGGCAGGCCAGCTGTAGGGGTCTTTCAGGAACAGGGACACCACCTGGATGGGGTCCACCAGGATGCCATACCTGGGGGTGGGGGTGAGGGTCTGAGCTGGAGGGAGGGCTGAG